AGTATAACAGAGAGAAAGAAATATAGCACGGCATTTCTTTGAATATTTATTTGAAATGATGAATAATGCAAATGAAGTGAAAATAGATGTCAACTGTCAAAATGTATTAAGATAAGCTTTTCAATTTTCAATTAATATTTTCCCCGATGAAAGAAAGAAGAAAACCGGGAAGATATAAAAATACTTGGTTCGTGATATGTCAAATGATATTTTCCTTTAACTAGAAAAATAACTTATAATTCACATTTATCTAAAATTTTATCATCTGTGACATTTCAATGTTTCAAGAAATTAAAGATTGACATAACAGTCAAGTTGAAGTGAATGATAGTAATTGCTCTCTTCAGTCCAAAGTTCATTTTCGATAGTGTCTCGAGGTTATATTGAATGATAATACGAATTCGATGAAGTTATATCTTAGGACGCTTTATTTTACCTTTCGCGAATTTGTAGTCGAACTCACTGGTACCATTTCATCGACCACTACCGACTTATTCGTACCACCGTTAGCAGGAGTCATATTTCCTGATGCACCGTGCACACGAAACGAACTACAAATTGAAAAAATTCGATGGAAAATTTATTAGAATTTCAGTTAGTACGAAGAAGTATAGCATTATTTCAAACTACTATTTTTATAAAATAATTAAGAAAAAAAAAATGCATCTTTTAAATAAAAACGTAAAATTAACCAACGTATGTGAATGCAATCAATAAATTCATTCTTAAGCGCTGATAATTTTGGAAGAACAAAATGCCTTTCCTAACATTTTAGTTTATATAAAGCTGACACGAAATGAAATGAAGGAAAGAGATTGAAAAAAGAGATATAAGCTGATGATAGAAATGGTCAGTGCAAGGGTCAAATGAAGAAAAGAACCAATGATAGCAATGATCAATAGTGAAGCATTGTTGGTGTAGCCAACAGTAGCTTAATAGGCGGCTGAAACAATGATAAAGTGTGGGAAGGAAGAAATATGATGAATCATATATGCTAAACATGATTCCCCATATGTTAATCAACGGTTAATAACAATTTTTTACAGAATATAATCAGTGAAATTGATAGCTGGAAATCAAAATTCATGGATTTTTGGATCCTTTATCATTTGTTAGAGTGTAAATATATAACATTTTGCTTATCGATAATTCTTTTTATTGCAAGCAAATAAGAATGAAACATTTTTCATGCTAATCGTTTCATTTCATGCCATTTCGTTGATTCATTTCTTTTAGAAATGCTTTGAAAGAATAAGAAAAAACTAAAAAAAATTGAAAAAGTACTAAGAAATTCAAATGAAAAAACAAGTTGTTTGTTTTTAAACTAAATAAAAACGATAAATGTGAAAAACTAATAGGAAGAAAGAAATAAAATAAAGAAATAACAAAAAGCAAAATTGAAAGGGCAGTTGTTTCAAAAAATTATAAATGTTATGGAGGAAAGGAAAAAAAGAAGAAAAGAAGGAGGAGGAGGAGAGGGAGGGAGAAAAAAAAGGAAAAAACAAGCAATGATTGATAGGTATTCGAAAATCGTTTTTTATCACATTGTTTTGTTTTTACACCTTTCATTTATATTGCTAACAATTTTGCAATAACATAGAAAGATTACTGGTAGAAAGAAATAATTATTATGGAAATGAAGAATTTATTTAAAAAATTGTTATTTCATAATCAAATGAGAATTATAATTTACTCCTTACTTTTTTAAGAATTAAAAAAAAAATAAATTATAAACTTACGTTGAATATATGCCAGAGGTATGTTTTGATGTATTATTACCAACATTATCCGTTGCACGCATCATTAACGATGATGCTGGCGTAATTCGTAATTCACGTGGTCGATTAGTACGAGGTAACATTGAACCATCCGCTGCTGAAGTACCTTGTGCAAATTCACAACGTGGACTACGAGATAACGGTGTTGAACAGAGTGGATATAATGGACCTGGGAGAAATGTAACGATAAATTTAATCTTAAAATGCAAAAGTTACGGAAAAAGGTATTAAATTTCAAGTGATAAACGAAGATGAAATTAAAATAAAACTTAAAAAATGAAATAAAAATAAAATATAAAAGTACTGAAGGCAATTCTACGATTCATTTAGTATCACTGATTAAATAATATAATAACATTTACGGTTAAATATTGTTCGTTAGAGATAAATTTAAGA